TGGCTCGTCCTTGCCGAAAGGTGAGTTATGAGTGTTCCTCGTCATAATATTTTATGATGTGACAGAGGTCACACTGATTTCTCGTCTTTGATACAAATTCCCTTAATGATCCTAAATATACGATATGCATTTTTTTTTGTATTTTCCTTATTATTTTTTATTTTTTATTTTTTACTTTTTTGAAAATGCATGAAAGGATGCATGCTTCTCATAGATTTTTTTTTCACACTAGGTTTTCCCTCATGATAATGCATTTTTATTTTTGTGTCTTTCTTTTACCGTAAGGGATTATAAAATAGACAAACAGTTTGAATAAACAAAATACAACAAACATATGCTCATACAACGTAACCCACAAACAGTCAAGTTCAAATCCTTGGTCTGTGGTCCCTGTCAAGAAAAGTGCGTTGTTTAGGAAAGTTCTAAGCTCATTGGTCTTTAAGGCTCCCAAGGTGCCCCCATTATAAGAACCCAGTACCTCTGTTACTTTCACCTAGCAAACTCTAAGGTCTGTCGTAGTATTTTGGGCTAAAGTAACTAGTTATCACCTTGAGTGTGATTTTTGACAAGGCTCACAGGCTCTAAGGTCATACTTAGGTCGGTCGTACGTCAACCACTCCCTATGTTTATACCCTCATGCCCAGGTATAGGGGGACTGTTGTGTGCTATGGTTTGTGTACAATTGTTATTTCAAACAGTGCAGAATTTAAGCAAACAAACAAATAATAAAGCCACACAAGTAAAAAAAACAGGTAAAGGGGAAAAGATATTTAAACTATTATTATTATCTTGTTAACTTCATCATTCATTTGGGCCTGAACCTCTTTAAACTTTCTCAGTGGAGTTGCCATCTATCGTAACTCAAAAAGATCCGATCTTACGACTAAATGCTTTGGACTACCTTTTGAAAAATCTCATCAATTAAGGAATGCTCGGAGACCAGAATAATCCTTAATTAATGATTTTGAAAAATGGTTCATGGAGTCGCCGCTAATGTTTTACTCAAAACATTAGAAAAAGAAGAGGTTTTCAAAAGTCCAATAATGGCCTTAACAACCAAAATTGGGTTCGTGGGTCGGTTACGTATAGGGAAGGTATTAAGCGCCCCTACAATGCCCTAAATCGGTACCCTTATGATGAAATTAGCATAATAATAATTAATACTTTAAATATTGATTCCCCTTTATTGATGATGGCTTACATGCATGAAATTTAAATTATACGATTTGTCATAAGATGTCTACATGATTATCTATTTTTGTTTATGACAATCTTTATTAAAAATAAGAAAGAAGGAAGAAGAAGAAAGAGATTGATTGAAATACCTCTTGGTTGAGCTTTATTGGACCTTCAAATAATGAGATCTCTTAGGCACTTTTTGGCTACCTTTCACACTACACAAGTACCTCACAAATCTCAAGAAATACAAAAGAATAGAAAGAGGGAGAGAATTTTTTAGCTATATGGAGTTCTGAACGAAATTTTTTGGCACTTGGGGCAGTGCCCGAGTCTTCTATATATAGACGTCAGAACTGACCAGAATAGTATATTTTGGGTTCAAAAGAGCCTGTTCTGGACCAGTCTATTATGAGTTAAATTTGAATCTGCAATGGCCCGTTTCAAAAGTAGAACGATCCATTATGAATTTGAAATTTACTCATAACAACCTATGTTGGAACTGCCTGTTCCAAACTAGGATTTTTAGGCCTTTTTAGTAGCTTGGAACGACCCGTTCTGGATTGGAAACGGCTCGTTCTAGGCTACTAAATCACCCTTATTGGGCTTTGGGTCTTCTGATGTCATATCATGTCATTTCTAGTTCTTCAGGAGCTCTTCTTCTTCTTGCTAGATGTTCATTTCCTTGTTTTTATACCCTAGACGAAATTAGGTGTCTACACACATCATTAGAACAAAAGGAGAAATAAGACTTTATAAAACACACATACTGCATTAGTTGAGAGGTCTTTTGAGTGATGACTAAGAACAAAACCGTAAAGATTTAGGCCTAAAGTAGACAATATCTTACCAATATGTAGAGTTGTGTGTGCAAATATCCCCCAAATACTAATAAAAAATAACAAAACATAACCCTCTTCTTAATAAATATATATCTCTTCAAATAAACTGACAAAATAATCCTAATACACCTGTGCTTCACCACTTTATTAAAAAGGTTGGATTGCAATCACCATTAACAAACCAATTCAACTTAACTTTTTTCCTTCCAAAAAGCTTCTTCATATACATTAGTGCTTGCTAAAGTTCTAATTGAGTTTGAGTTTTGATCTCTATACGAGTATCCCCTATGCATTTATGTAGTTAAATTTTCATGTAAAAAATTACCATTTTACTATTTTCTTTTCATTCATGTTTGTTTCTTTTGGGGGGAAATTTACGTCGGACCTACCCGACGTAGATAATCTAATTTACGTCGGACACCCCTAGGTCCGACGTAAATTTCCTCTTCCATATTTACGGAACTGCCACCGCGTTTTTACAACGTCGGGTGTTCCACTTTCCGACGTAAATGAGGAGACGTAATAGCCCCTTTTTCCACTAATGTAAAACACTCACTTTTTTTTTAAAAAAAAAAAAGAAATAAAGATTTTAATAAAGATGATAAACATGTTAATTACATTAATTTGATTTCTTCATTGCATCTAAACAACATACGTAAAAGTAATAGATCACTCTATCGAATTACAAATGATAATAAAAATAAATTATGTAAAAAATATTAATTTATTTTCTTTTAGTTAAATATATAATTAACAAAATATTAAATAATATATATATATATATATATATATATATATATTTATTTATTTATAATGTTAGCTTATTTTTCAAATTTAACTAAAATTTATGTGATAACTTTTTTTTTTATAAATAAAACATCATAAAGTACTAATTTTTTTCTGCATGTAAAAGGGTTTTTAATCAACACATTGACTTCGAAATAGTTTCTAAAGAGATTCTTTTAATATTTTTTACTAAAAATATTAGATAGCGACTCCCTGATTTTAATTGCAAATTTTAATAAGGGGTTATTATTGTACCCTCAATAAATGAGGAATTTTGGTAGATGTGTATGTACACATCATTTAAATGTCATGTCAGTCTTTGAAATAAATTTTATTTTTTATTTAAATTTTTATATTATTTATTTTTAGGGTTTAGGGTAGTCTTCGGATCCACCTCTACATTATGACTCAACCCAAATTTGTCTACCTCATGGACTACTCCTGCCATCACCCCTCCTCACCTCTATGTCTTCTTCCAGCAATTCATGAACTAGTTCGCCCTCATCAGCGACTTCCTCCCCTCCTCCCTTGACTTTCAGCGCAAGATCCTCCTCTACTCCAGCCTCGGCCATGAGACCTACCTCCCCACCTCTGTCCATGCCATCCCCCCAACCCCTTCATGGCCGTTGGCAGGGAGGAAGCCGAGTAGGTCATGTTCTCCGTCCTTGACAACCTCTTTGCCAACACCTACGTCAAACCCAAACACATCGAAATCCTTGTCCTCAACTACAGCCTCTTCAACCCCACCCCTCCCCTCTCCGCCATGATCATGAACCGCTACAAGTTTCACGACAACGTCAATGGCTTCAACCTTGGCGACATGGGCTGCAACACCGATTTCATCACCCTCGATCTTGCTAAGGACATGCTTTAGGTGTATATGTTTAAGTTAAGATATCCCAAAAATAAAAATAATATATATATATATATATATATATATATATATATATATATAACTTTTTTTATAAAATAAATCAAGAACCA